AACTCTCTGTGACGCGCTTGTTGCGCAGATGCACATGTGCCACGGATATAGAGTGTGTAGCGTAGGAGAAGTAACATTTGGCTTTGGAACAAGTGCCGCTGCCAACTCTCCAGCTCTCACTGTGGCAGCTCGGGTTAGAGTCCTGCTCCAGGACGGGTACCTGTAGACTTAAGAGAGAGAGAACCTCGAGTATGAGGAACAGGGTACTGGCAAACTGTGATCGGGCGACGACTGCACCATGGGGCTCCGTGGGGTGCGGAGCTCTATGCTAGTCCTTTCGACTGTGGTTTTGTGATTGTAATTCTTGAAATTGTAACTTTTCAATTTGTAGGCCTATTCTAATGGATGCTTCAGTTAGAATGCTTTTAATTCGTATGTGGTTTAACACGGGCACGGGCGAGTAACAGGTGGAAAGTTGACAGGTCCGAGAGGGTGCGGGTCTCCAAAAATGGACCCGTGCAAGACTGAGTCGGTTCACGTTGGTCACGTGTGGTGATCGCGGTGGCCCGATGTGCAGCGCGGTGGGCCTCTTAGTACCACAGTGATTTATTTTTGCATTTATAGCGACAGCCCTAGAACCAAATACATTTTAACAACAATGAATATGTTAAGTGTATTGCATAAACATTTCCTTCCACTAAATAAGCAACAAAACTGTGGTGCGGTCACAAAAAAAATTGCTAAAAGATATCAAAAACTATATATTCATACAACAACCCACTACTACCCATATAGGAAAAGGCTATATAGCTATTTCGATATTTTTGCACACCCCTAATCTCAACAGAGACAAGCAGAATATGGACCATCCACTAGAAAGTTACATAATACAATGGAAGAAAAAGTGATGACTAAAATCGACTAATATTAGATCTGGCAGCCATGAGACAACAACCACAAATCATCTTTCCAACAGTGCACTTTCTCCTGTCTTCCTGTGTCCGTCCCTTCCTCCCACTCTGTCCATCACACAGCTGGGCCCCGGACCCTCCCCTCTCTGACAAAGGCCTACATTGACTCTATTGACACCCCGGCATGCCATTAATCTTAATTTGTCCCATCATATCCTGCTATTGGTATGGAAATGTGGGCCCATCTCCGGTGTGGTGCTTGAGTCGTGATGCGTGCTCAAACATGGCTGAGTGGGAGAGTGCCTGTACATTTGACCGCTTCCGTTCCCACTGGCCCCTTGTTTAAATGTCATGAATGTTCCCGATGACACACTCAGTAGGAGGTGTGGGCAGGAGCTGGCCTAATGTGCTCAGTTGCCCGGGGAGTCACTTCCTGAGGCCAGATGGGAACCCAGGGATGTCCCAAAGGAGATGGAGGTAGCTATCAATTTCCAGTTAAGGCTCAGAAATATGCACACATTTAAGCAACAGCGTGTGCAAACATTAGAGGTAAGTTGGTGTGGTGTCTTCACTGGTTAGAGTCAGGATTAAACTAACAACGTTTGGATTAGTGGACAAACTCTTCCACAGTATAATTCCAGCAAGGAAAAGGTTATAAATATTGTACCAATATTGCAATACTGTAATGACAAAAAAGGTGGACTACAAAAAAAAAGTACTTCAGGAGAACCACTGAGTGATAAACACATAAACGAGGGAAATGAGAGCATATCTAGAGAACATTTTAGATATGTATTTAATGTCTTCTTGTCTTTCTTTCTTGGAATTCTGTCATTGTTTAACAGGGTTAGGCATTATAAGCACTTTTTTACTTTAGCCTAAACCCTTTCGGTCATGATCCACGGGGTTGTAGTCTATGTTTTGTTTTGTTTTGTAATGCTGACAAATGACTATAAAACTACAGCTACAAAAAAAAAAATCTGATTTGTCTGTCTTCATTGGCTGATTTATATCATCCATTTGTTCCTTTCATTAAACTGATAATAAAGTCAGTATCAAATATTAAGTGTATCGTATTGAGGAGCTAGGCATGAATAAAAGGTCTGGTGGCTCATTCTGACTTGTTATATTCACTTTATTGACCACCTTTTCATGGCCCTTAAACAGCCCTCAACTGTGTCTGTGTTTTTGGTGTATGGCTTTTGATGATAAAAACATGGACACCCCTCTTTTTTTATGATGAAGATTAGACTTTGTAGATAGATATTTTTTCTTTCAAAAGACTACATTGGGTTCTTGGGTGAGTTGGTTACTCTTGGAATACGTCTTCTGTATGTTTCAATGTTACAGGATATGAGAGAAGCTCCAGTGCCACAACCAAACACAAAAAGATGAATGAGACTACTGACATATTTCAGAAATGTGATGGTTTAAAATTTAGTATTTTAATATGTATTGCCGTTTCCACATAGCCTGATTCATCAGCCAGTTTCACTTTGTGGAAACTGTCTGACCTCGCAGCAGTAGGATCTGTTCGCTTGATGGTAGGCAGGTACTTCATTTGTATTTAACCAATTGCTGCTATTTGGTTGTGACGTGTGTAATGCACTGCTAACGGGTCTAACTGTTATATTAAACTGTTCCCAAATCCCACAGGAAGAAGGGCAATAACGTCTTTCGCCTTGATAAAATTCATACATACATCTCGACCATTTTGCTTACTGTTGTGCTATACCTCAAAAAGGGACCCAGTCATGGTTTCACAGCTCTTCGCTGTTTGGCCGGTGCGCGGTCTACAACTTCTGGGGTTCTTGCAAACCGTCTAGCGTATTCTGATTCCTGACCTAGTTGCTGGAGAAACTGAGCGGAGGCACTAGGTGGAGCCAGCCTGGCTAGCTAGTTAAGCTCTACTTTTTAATTTGAATGCATTTTATATTTCTTGGAACATAATTATTTTGCTGTACATAAGCCTAGCACTGTAAATGTTAATGCATGCTGACCCAACCACTGTCGCCCTCACAGCTCCAATGGAGTAAGACGGTATTGTAAATGCATGGCTGATTAAATCATTGAGCCTAAGTGTATGAGACAGACAGACATGGGGCTGGCTGCAAGAGCTTAAGAGGAGCACTGGGACACTCTCTATTCCCTGTGTCCTTTTTGACAAGGCCCAGACCCAGGCTTTGATCAGCACTCAGGAAATTTCATTAGGACGGAGATGGCTGGATAAAAGACCAAAGAAAGCCAGAGTGGATGAGAGGAGGAAGAGAGCGAGATAAAAGGGGAGAAAACGGATGGACGGAGGGAGGACGCAGGAGCCGTGATAAGAAGAGCTTTTCAAGTCGACAAAGGAGAGCTCAAATCTGGGACGTCTGTACATTTTAAGTGTACCATATATCAATATCTATGTTTAATGTATGGCTGTAGAGGAAAGTAAATCAACTTCTATAGGTTATAGGCCTGTCATGATAATAACTATAACGACTTGTTCAATATATGAGAGCTATAATAGCTTTTTGGGGGTTAATATTTATGGTGAATATATTTTGTTTGCTTTACTTGGACATTTTTGGTTATATTGTGGCTATGTGATAATCCGTAAAAGGTTGAATTAATGGTGTCTATGACTAAAGTGTTTCATTCTGCAATTTCTTTATTGTAGATCATAATTTAGAATAATTTAGAATATTTATTATGGTATAAATCTGCTCTTGGGTTGTTATGTCAGTGGTATAAATTTGTTGCAGTATTATTGTCTATCATCTATATGTGCTTCAGCAATATATTGCACTTTTAAATTTGTTAGTGTGACAGGCCTAATATGTTGTCAATTTAATACTCACAAAAAATGCACAGATTCATACCTGTGTGTAGAAACACTGGAATCAAGGTGGTGTAGTGCTTTCCCAATGAGCAGAAAAACAGTATTTCCCTGGTCAGAAAGGGGATCAAACTGCCAATCTTCAGATTACAGAACCAACTCTATTCATCTGAGCCACAGACAACCTGTTATATTACTGTCAATAGGTGTGGTTGATATGCCACACCTAAAACAATTTATATCATGACTTTCTAGCATAGCAGAGCATAGATGAAAATGTAGATGTTTTTATCACAAATCTTGTAGTATAATAATATTGTCTTTAAAGGTACCGAGTGCTTGTCTCTGTGAAACCGTTTGCCTAGAATGTTCCCGGGAAAGGCATTAAACTTCTATCTTTAGATTTATTCAATTCAAAACAACATGCATTGTGAGTAGGGCTGGGTATCATTAAGCAGTTGCTGATAAGATAGATACCTCGATACACAGACCACAATACAATACATATCTCGATATAGTGCACGTTGGATTCGATACGATATATTTCAAATCAATTCGATATGGTTCAATAAAAAATAAAGACTAAATCATGGCTGTGATAATACAAATCTTTGATAAACACCTTCTTGTACAAAGTTAATATGAAACACAAACATTTTAATCATCAAAACAGTGAAAATGTCAAATGTGCCATATCAACGAGTTTCCTTCCTCTAAACAAGCAAAAAAAAAAAACCTGTAGCACTGTAATAAAATAATTGAATAAAATATACCAAAAAATACTCTTGCCAATATGACACAGCACCCCATGATATCAATACTGCATTATCACACTAAACAATACAATATATCGATATTTCAATATTTTTGCACACCCCTAATTGTGAGTGAGCAGAATCCGACCTGTAACTTGGTCCAGTGGCCTAGTGGTCACATGAAAAAGCAACAGCATCTCCATGGAGAGTAAAGTTAATAATTCTTCTGAGAGTTAAAGATTCACTGGGAATGCTAAAACCCATTGTCAGAAAATGAAGCCGGCCAAATGGGTAGAGCTGCACCCAAATCACAATTTCATCTTTATAATCATATCACCCAACCCAAACTGCCAATATGAAAAACGTGAATGTTTCGTGTCCATTTTCAGTATGGAACACATCAATAGACATACCTACAGACCGCATGTCTAAAATCAACAGCACTAGCACAGTTAAAGAGATGAACAGCAGCGAAAAAGCTCTCTCCTCATCCATCAGGCCCACAAAGGCAGAGGGGCAGAGGAGGACTGACTGATCCATCACACACCAAAGGCTCCCGCGATGTGTGTTTACCTTATCCATCATGTCGGGACGGTTGGTGGCGGCCAGCACCGTGACGTCGCGGAGCTGCTCCAGTCCGTCCATCTCTGTCAGCAGCTGGGCCAGGACCCGGTCGCCCACGCCGCCTGACCCCGACGAGCTAAGGGGGCACAGGGGAGGGTTAAGTGTGAAAAAGAACATAGTGAAAATCAATAAGTATTTCAAGGTGAAATATGATGTAAAACTGACTGAGCTTAAAGGAGGGGGTATTACACGTCTATGGGGTATTAATTGTTCACACATAACATATTTAGATCACAGTCACATTTTATTTTGAAAATTGCCAAAAACTATATTATAACAATATTATTCACATATTCAAATGTTTAGTTAGTTTCAGTTTAGTTCTGATGCTCTGAGTCCCTCCTTTGCTCACCTTAAGTCAATGTCCTCTAAACACAATCAGTGTACATTTTGCTAATGAAACTATGGCACATAACATCAGGTTTGTGAAGTTGTAGTGTATTATTTTGCAACAGGAGCATGGTGATGTAGGTTGGTGTGGGCTTAGCCTTGTACATGAGGTGTACTGCTAACTGTTAGGACGGTTCAAATAGGGCCCAAGAGACATTGTTCAATTTCTCAAACATACATGGATGACATATAAAACCTCTTCAGACTTATTTTGATGATGAAACAATGTTATAACTAGGGCTGAGTATCATTCAGAAGTTGCCAATACGATACATACCTTGATACAGTGGGCTTACAATTCGATATGTTTCAATATGATATATTTCAATTTGATTCGATATGGTTCAATAAAAAAATAAAGGTTATATCACGGCTGTGATGCTAAAAGTCTATGTTAAACCACTTCTTGTGCAAAGTTCATATGAAACACAAACATTTTACTGATCAAAACAGTGAAAATGTCAAATGTGTTGCATAAACAAGCCCTTCCTTTCACTAAACAAGCAACAAAACTGTAGCGCTATAACAAAATAATTTAGTAAAATATACAAAAAAATAATAAAAATACTCCGGGCGATATATTAATACAGCAGCCCATGATATCGATACTGTATTATCACATTAACAATACAATATACAGTATCAATATTTAAATATTTTTGCATGCCTCGTTATAACATGGTAGAAAGCTCAAAAAAGATGATATTGCATATTTCACTGTAACAGGAAGCCAACAGTTTTATTTAGATTTATTTTTTAAGATGGAAACATATTCTATTACCTGCTTATTCTGAGTTATGGTCCGCCATGGCTCCAAGAATAATCTTATCAAAAACACAATTTGAATAGTTGAAATTAGTAAAGCACATCGGCTGCTGTGATTTGAGTAACATCTTGTGCTCCACAGCAAAGTACACCAAAATACCCTGTCTCATTGGACTATTATTATATGTAAAAACCTGCTGATTCTGTCTTTTAGAACTCAACATCTTCACATGCATATTCTGAAATGCATGTGATTCTTGTATTAGTTCATATTACCTCTCAAATATGCATGCTCCTGGACATGTTAAAAATACAACAATAATAACTTCCAGTAATGCCATGATATTGACATTCATTTTTGCAATATTTGTTATTACAATTGGTATAAAAACTAAACAACACTGTTGCTGTAACTTTGCATTAGATTCTGGTTATTTTCCACCAGAGCACAGTGCAGACAGCCGCCCCTCTGGCTCAAAGGCACACAGACACTGGCTCTGTTGACAGGGTTAGCCAGCGGAAGTGCCAGACGTTATTAGCACAGACAAGGCCATGGAGCAACACAAAGGGTCTCTGTCACCGCGATACGGACCGGCCGGGAGAGGCAAAGTTTGGCACGAAGAGGGGAGGATAGCTTGAGCAGCCAGTAGGCCCTTTAAAAGTTTGTAAACAAATACGTTCTAGATTCCTGAATGGAGGCACCGGCAGGCAAAAGGGAAGTGGAATATAATAAGCTCAGAATATATGAAAAAAAAAAGAAAAGAAAAAACAAGGGGGAGTTGACAATTCTACATGAGAATTAAAGCATCTTATTTAAAAAGAGATTATAATTTGAAGAAGGCAAAATCATAGGTTTCAGTTTTAATTGGACAAATACATACAGTACATGTCACATCACATTTTCACATCCTCACAATAGTATACCATACTGTAGCACAAATTTGACTTTTTGTAAAGCTTGAATCTAATTTTTAGGCTAGAAATTTTTATTTTTTCCATCGTTTATAATAGAAAGACTCGAATGCCCTCAAAAACAAGAAAAAAATAAAAATAAATAAATAAATAAAAAAATCTAATTCATTTGAAAACAGTTTGCAGCGGTCCATCCAAACTATTCACTGTGATGAGTGAATAAATAAAAGGGCTTTTCACAGCTTTCACAAACCAGAGTGGAGTTTTGCCATCAAGGTAATACTAACATCAACTAGCATGCTAATAGAGGTGTGCAAAAATACTGAAATATTCATATATCGTATCATTTAATTTGATGATACATTATCGATATTGTGGGCTACTGTATCGATATATCACCAAGAGTAATTTTAGGTAAATTTTACTAAATTATTTTCTGTAAGACCTACAATTGTGTTAACATTTTCACTGTTTTGATGAGTTAAATGGGTGTTTTTTATATCACCTTTGCGCAAACTTAGTGGCCTTAGTGGACTTTCAGTATCATACCCATGATTTAGCCTTTTTTTCACTGAACTGTATCGAATTGTTTTGAAATATATCGTATCAAATCGTATTGAACTGAAAGTGTACTGTATTGAAAAACAGATCATATCGAGGCCTTTGTATCGAGGTACGTACCGAATCTGCAACTTCTTAATGATATTACAATAAGACCCTAAGAGCTGCTTTTCCAGTGTATCTGTGGTGGGACAAAACAGATGATACTTTATTACATGGAAAAAGTGCAGCCCCTTTAAAACATTACCATTTAGCTATAATATCAGTTAATCGGTGAACATGCACTAAGGTCTACTTCGCTTCTGCTCTCCTTCCGCGGTTTTGAACACTGTGATGACATAGCATTTTAAAGGGACTATTCTCAAACTGCCTTTCATAAAACCTCACATGTGCTGCGTTTGAATGTTCTTTGGCTCGTCCTGTCCTCTCTTCATTCCAGCAGTTTGAAGTGTGGCAGGTAGGCTGACAGATTTACAGGTGCTTCAAAAAGAGAAAATATATGCTGCTCGGGCTGTCTGCTTGTGTCAACACTTTTGGAATTCCTGCAGTTGAGCCATTTCATTGATTAAACGCAGCAGGAAGTGAGGGCTGATAAATAACCCCCACATCAGTATGGCTAAGTGCATTTTTCAAATAGCTAAAAGCTTTACCGTCAGCTTCTGGTCATTTGCAGCGAATTTGAATTCCAACGGTTGTGCAAAAGCAGTGTGCGAAATTACAAATGAGAGCTTTCGCAATTTGGTTTTGTTGTTATACAGAATAATTTGAATTCTAAATTATAAAAGGTATGGTTAAGGATAGGGCTGTGTATCATTAAGAAGTTGCAGATACGATACATACCTTGATACATAGGCCACGATGCAATACATATCTCGATACAGTGCACTTTCAATTCAAATACAAAATATCTCAAATCGATTCGGTTCAATAAAAATAATGGCTAAATCATGGCTGTGACACTAAAAGTCTTTATTAAACAACATCTTATGCAAAGTGTATAAGAAACACCCATTTTACTCATCAAAACAGTGAAAAAATGTCAAATGTGTTGCATAAATGAGTTTTCTTCCACTAACAAGCAACAAAACTGTAGCGCTGTAACAAAATAATTGAGAAAATATACCAAAAAATACTCTTGGTGATATATCGATACAGCAGCCCATGATATCGGTACTGTAACATCACATTAAGCGATACAATATATCGATATTTCAATATTTTAGTACACCCCTAGTTAAGGAGCAGTGCATTCTTAAAGGTCTTATATTATGTAAAAGTAACTATTAAGAGATTTCAACAATCTCTTTCATATTCCAAAGGCTGATCCGGATCTGATCCAGAAGACTGATTTTATCGCAATTTATATAAAAAATGGGGGTAGTCCTTGGCGGAGGTCTGCGCTCTCTGAGTGCTTTTCTAGTTATTACTCTGTCTACATTTCCAAAGCTCAAAATATTCTGTTCCACTTGTGATGTTATGAAGCTGTTTTTTCCTTTTGTACAGCACAGTGTTTGGCAATTCAATGACTGAACTTATCTAAATGATTCTACTGAAGGTGTACGGAGTTTAAAAACACAGTGGAGCACTTCTTATATTACTGCATGACATCACTAGGTGGAGTGTTCCTGTATGACAGAATAACTTATCTGAAATATGCAGGGCTTGTGTGTTAACCTGTGAATGAGAAAACACAACTGTAGGTAAGTTTTTGATGAGGAATAATAGCAGATCAAAAATATTAAACATTATTTAAAACTTTTGACAACTTCAGTGCAAAATTGGTAAATTTACAGCTTTCTGGTCAAACTGAAGTTTGTCTTTGTTGGCCTCTGCAATTTCCAGTAGTTGGTGACATCACAAAACACTGCCCAGCCAGGCGTTTCTGATCACAAACACATGGCTGCGAGGATACCTGTTAAACCATTCACACTGTTCTTTATACCACTAAACACAGCTCCACTTTAATCCCATTTTAAGTATTGTTTCCAAGTTACAGGAGAATGAAATAAACCATTTTATTTATATGAAGCAATACAATATTACTTTTCTTTTAGCCATGGAATGAGACATGGCATAAATTGTTCATAGTCAGCTGCTTCAACACTCTTTACATATGAAACAACTGCAGTCTTCTTTTTGTAAATGCTTTGAACCGGAAATTTGTGGAATTGAAACAAATGTAAAGAGCAGATTATCAGGATTTTGTCAGGATAAAACTACATGTCTGAATCCGTGTGGCCAAACATAATCCATTTTCCCCGCACTAAACTGTGCTTTCTACACAACTGCTTGTGTACAAATATAAGACTTATAAGACTTGGTATTAGCCAGGCCTAGTTCTAGACAAATGCATTTGCGTGGGAAGACTGCAAATATGTGGGCGAATACAAAGGAAGATGTAGATTTTTTATTACACACCAACTAATAAAATGATGAGTTTAGATAAATGCTAATCTAAACTCTAAAGTTTAGATAAACGCTCTTTGTCAAATATTGGGTTGTAAAAGTATTAAAAATCAAAACTAATCGATACAAATCTAGACACAACTAGACACTCATTTGAGCAGGTATCAATACTAAGGTAACATTCACAGAACAGAAATGAACCTTGAATAGATTTAAAATGATCTTGAGCTGTATGAGAACAACTATAAGAGCACACAGCCTAGTATACGCACATGGACCATTATGGAACATACCTAGACAGCTGAGGGATTACACAGATATAAGGCCAAATGGTAATGTAAAAGAAAGTACTGCTGAAGATATTATTCTAAAGAAACAGTGTTTTATTACCATTGTGGTATCAGTATCAAGTATTGAGTATTCCTTAGTATCGAAATCAAGTTTGAAATTAAAATTTGTATACTTTATGTTGATGTTGAATTGTATATTCTTAAACTAATACAAGTATTTATATCACGTATTTCAGAAATAGTTTGTAGGTCTAAAAAGTACTTTTCTTCAATAACAGGATAATTTTCTATTATCTAATCATTGTGCATGCTTATATTTCTTAATTTCAATCTGATTGCAATATATCGTGCAGCACTAATGTGAAATGCCAATATAAACTGTCACTATGCATTTACACAAATAAAACTGAGAGCTACATGTTTACTATAACAGACCAAATGAATGGTGTCAACATTCTGAAGCCTGTGAGCACATGGACCAGCCGCCTGCCCTGTCTGTGCTCCTTCCTGCGCCCTTTATTTTTATCGAGGAAGCGCGCTGCATTTTTGGCCTCTGCCATCTGCTCCGCGCACCACAATGAGGTCTCTGTGTGTGTCCGGTGCTCGTCCTCCGCCCGCACCCCCCTCTCGCCTCTGCCCCCCTCCTCCCTCCGCCCGTCCCAGCTTCCTTTGGGCCACAGATGTTCCCAGTGCCATCCCACCCAGCCGCTCCGGGACAAGCCACTGCTCTGTGTCTGAGGGGGCACCGTGAGTGGCTTCAAAGTCTCGCGGACACTTGGAGATATGTGCCAGTGAGTCATGAAAGCATCTTTGTGAGGCGTTCAAGGGCAGAATTTATGACTGGAAAATGGAGTACAATGAAATGTGTTTTTGTGAAATGTGTCCAGAATGTATGTGTCACTCCTAATAGTAAATAATCTCAGCAAAATCAAGTGTTCAATTTGATATTTTGTACTGGTCATATTTTGTTTCTGGTAAAAATGTATAATTTAAAATGTAACTTTGAGCAGGAAGTAAATGAATCATTTTCTATTATCAAGACATTTTAGATTCATATTGGGATTTACACTGAACTAAATCTAAAATAATTATATATATATGTTACAGTTTAATACAAAATACCTAAAAAGAAGCATAATTTATCTTCTTTTAGGAGAGGAATACACAGAGAACCAGAAGCATGGTGTTTTGTTAGAATTTATGCTTCTTCCTTGCTCTCTCAACCAGCTACAGTTATTATGTGACTGGAGTGGAAAATGTAATTGAAGAATGTACTTCTTAAACCAAAGACAGTTGCTGGGTGAACACTCAACCCATTATGCCACTACTGCCCCATAAACTTGTTTTAAACTTGGAGATATTATTGCTTTGCCTTGAATGTCCCACTGTATAAGGTAAGTATTCAATTAAGTGACTTCATTTGTTGAAATATACATTACTGTTTTGTTGTAACTAACAAAAAACATTGTACTAGTTATTGAATCAAAAAGTTTTTATAGCTTAAAAATACTGAAAAACACAGATCTCATCATAGATCAGATCTGTCACCTGCCCATCTCCATGGAGATAGACAAGTTTAATGCTATATTATGGGAAATTAAAGCAATAACATCTCCATAGAGACAAACAGGTGGACCATTTACCAGAAATGTTGTGTTCCTGTTTGTCTAAAAGTAACCTCATGTACCTTCCTCTCTCGCTGGCCAGCGCATCGATCTCATCAAAAAAGACTATGGAGGGAGCGACGGTCCGGGCCTTCCGAAACACCTGCAGATGATGGCAGCCACAATGAAGGAGCGGAAATAAGAGGATGAGTGTGACAAAGACAAAGAACAGTGCGCCACAACAACACAAAAACATGCACAGGAAATAGTCCATGTATTATAGCTAGAACACAACCGACCGCCATTCACTGTATAAATAGAGTTTCGGAAAACAATTTAAACTAATTACTCTAAGTATTCCTGTTTATGACAAATGCAGACTCACCTCTCTGACGGCTCTTTCAGACTGCCCAACATATTTGCTTAGTAGTTCAGGTCCCTAAAAAAGGAAGTAAATATTAAAATATACTGAGGTAAAAGTTGGACAAGATATGTGGACATATGGAGATTTCTTTAGCGCCTTTCAAGATACCCAAAGTGCTTTCCTGTTCATTATTCATTCACTTTACATTGTAGCCACAGCTGCCCTGGGGCAGAGTAATGGAAGTGAGACTGCCAATCTGCATTCATACTAGACAAGCCAATGTCCCTTTTTATATTGACTTTTTTTAAAATATTGTATTGTGAATATTTATTGAGGCGATCCACTTTTACATGGACATCCACATTTGAATAAAGTATACTATGTTATCCGAAACCACAAAAGAAGGAAGGAGGTAATTAAATCTATACGGCTAGTTCCAAAGAAACAATAACAAACGCTTTGAAACGTTGCTAGTATTGAGATTCATTTTTGAGTGCGTGCAAAGCATTTTTTTCAGATGGTGAAGTGAATCGGGATGGACCACCAAAGTTACTTCAATCCTGCACTGCTTACAGCTCTTTCTTTTCCAGGTTTGTGATAGAAAAAAAACCCAAAAAAACAGACTAACAATCCTTTAATTCATTCCTTTCATTCAAAATCTATACATTTTTAGTGAGAAGCAAACATGGTAATGAAGACACAAGCTGCAGATGCATGGTGTGTCTAAGCCCAGGTGCGTAAAATACACTTAAGCCTGTCCGTGAGTAGAGCCCTGCTGTATGCCCCACAGTACAGATAAAGCTAATCCTCTGATTGTTACTCTATAATTCATACTTGTGCACTTTCAAAGAGAGCGGGACATTTTTTAGATTCCTCTACATGTTTCCTGTCTCTTCTGAAAGGCCTTTTCAATCCTTTTAGATTCCGTTGACATTTTAAACTGGGGCTAATTGCCGTCAACTCGGAACTAGATTTACAGTTAAAACGTTAAAGTAAGGGCTTGACTCATACAAATGTAATATGCCTCTGGCAAACGAGAACTTGTCTGAAACACCACTCATAACATTTACTAGGAAATTACTTCTCGAGTTTTCTTTGGTTTTTGTTTTCAACTATTTACAGCCAGGATGGAAAGTCCTTTGACACAAATCCTGATTTTAGTGTGTGCCTGCTCATGGACTGTGTATGGAACTCTTTGTTACATCTGGGGCAAAACATCTTCTCTTTTATAAGACTGTTGTGTTTGGACATGGTCACTGACAAATAAATGATAAAAGGAAGTTCATTTATGAGCTTCAAGCTTCTTTCCTGATTTGAAGGAATTGGTATTGCAGCAGTCCTCTGTTGCTATAGCAATAACACAATTCAAATCAAAATGTTATGTCTTTTAAATGCGGAAAAATCCTCACAAAATCCTTCAAATTAGAAAGAAAGTTATTTTCTGAAACCATGAATAGAGGTGGTCGGTATGCAAAAAACAAAAAAAACAACACAAAAAAAAATCATAATATTTATTCTTAGAGGCTAGACCCCTGACTTTGTATTTTGAGAGAGTTCACACCTCAACATGATTGGTTAAATCCACCTGTCACTCACAGCACGGCAGAGGCTGAGTCACCATATGACAAAAAACCACAACTGCATATTGTCCTAGGCGTCACATCACTTTTGGCCAAATCTCTGTGCCAAACCTCAGAAGTTGAGCAAGATTGGGCTTGGTAATACTTGGATCAGAGGCTGTTGGGAATATCAGGTGCCACAGAGGGGTGCAGCAGCAAAAAACTGTTATTGTCTCCTCACTTCACCCGAACTGCCTGGTATGAGAGTATGTGGTGGTCACAGGGGCCGATTTGCAGCCTCACTTCCGTCCGTCTAACCCTTCGCAGCTGTTGCTACAGAAGTAGCTTACCAGCACCAAGTGTGGAGTAAATGAATAATGCACAAAATTGTGGAGTTTCAGTGTCTGGAAAAGTGCTATACGAAACAAATGAATTATTATAATTGTCAATTTTGATATTTGCCATCACATCACATATGTACTTCTGATTTATCTTTATTTGTCTTCGTTCTCTGTCATTTTTATTTCAGCACTCACCTACTCACTACTGTATACAATAAGCACTTTTCTTAAAGGTTCTATATTACTCAAAATTGATTTTTGTGAGCTTTAATCATGTTAAAATGCTGTTACCTCATCAAAAACATACCTAGAGTTGTGTTTTATTTCATTCACAAATGTTTGAATAATCCCGCATTATTAGTCTACACCAAAAGCTCAGAATGCTCTGTTCCACCTTATAATGTCATGAAGGGGTAGTTTCCACGTTAACAGCTACTTTTTACCTTTAGTTCAATAGAGACTGGCACTTCTAGGGCTAGAATTAAGTGTTAAACAGGATTGTGTGTTAAACATATGTGAAAAACAAAAACAAAAAAAAAAAACATAACCCCTGGTATGTTTCTGATGAGGAAACATTATAACATAGATCAAAAAATCAGGTAATATGTGATCTCAAAACAATAATAATTTGATGGGAACCCAGATACACAATTCCTCACGTGTCTCTCAAAAGCAGATAGACCTGCAGACATTCATCGTAAGAACTTCCTCTTTCTCCAGTCAACCTTTCAACACCTCAGTGCTGCTGGAGGACAGGACACTTAACTGCAGGCCTTTTGTCTCCTCTACTAAGTGTGCCGCTTGACTCCATAATCCTGGGTTCCTGTGCTGGACAAGTTGATTTTAAATCCACTGACAGTATCTGCGGATGTGTGTATGGCGGGCAGGAAACTCGAATTGACAAGAAGATAATAGGGCTTCTCTTCTCACAGAGGAAACAGTTAAGCCTTGAAGTATCCCAAATCTGGATAAGGTATCTCTATGTGAAAGCACTGGAGAGGTGGACGGTGTTATTGCAGATGCTGTCAGCGGGGGGCAGGATGTTTTTCATGGGGCAGATCGCTTCCTGGGGACTTGAACTCTTGGCGTAGATAACATTATCCAAAATATAACATTACGCAAACTAGAGTTAAGTTAAAGGAAAGTGCTTGTTATTATGGGGTTTGACAGAGACAGGATCTAAAATGCAATAGACAAAAAAATAACTACAATATTTTTAGATAACCAAATCTATCCATCAAAACAAAAAACTTTATTGTAAAGAACAGTTCATACGATAAATCTTATGCTATACATAACTTTTTTAACCACCGTCTTTACTTTGACCTTGTCGATATAATGAAAAGCGATCCAATAAGCAATGTTTTCAAATGTTCTAATAGCTATTATACACAATAGACTTTAACATACTAGCTTTATGTGTCTGCGTTAGTGAAGGCATATTGTAACTATGTACAAAATATATGGTAGTTTTTCAGGCAGATATTATTTTTACAATAATTGAAAGGCAAATAAGTTACACAAGCTAATCCTTTCTGTCTATAGTCAATAGTTTAATAGATTCATAAACTGAAAAACCTTATTCCAGTCAAGCTATAGTTATTTATTTACTCCTAGCAGTACACATAATGTTTTGTTTTGTTTTTACTACCAGCAAATGCGTCAGCCATAAATAAACCGTCTTGTTTTCCAACCCAGCTATTTCCTGCCTGTTGCCCACTTTAGAGCGTCGTAAGGTGAAATAGCTAAAGTTAACTCATGCTTTTTACAGCCCTAGTTAGTGGGACTGCGCCTCACCCATTTCCAGCGTGATTCATGAAAACAAAGCTGGCTTCAACTGTCACTGACATTTGCCGTTAGCTTAATGACACCGGCTGAGAGCTTCTGTCGTGCTCTTCTGTCTCAAGCGGCAACAGCTTTGAAAATAACCTCCCGATCAACAATTCAACAAGCTGATCAATCAATCTCTGTCATGGCGGCCCGGACAGGCAGGGGCGGGGGGAGCAGCAGAGGATGGGGTGATGAATGAGAAGGGACAAACACGGGGTCAGGGGTCATACAAGGAGCCCACTAAAGAGGAAGTGGTGCGGTCAGACTGTCTCCAAGTCATTAGCCAAGTATGTCCACTTTTAAACACTGCTGACATCATTGGTATTGAATACCAGCAATGCTGAGGTTTGAAAATAAAATATATTTTCATTTTATGACATAGTATTTTCTGTGTATAGTAAAATAACCTTAAAAAGTGAAGCGTGATATTGTCAAAATGAACAATGAAATGTCATGCTCCCCCTCATGATATAAGGAGGTAATAGAAGGGCTCAAATATATTTTCAAACATTATACACCTTTACTAGAATAATCTGGATAACTGCAAACATGGAATCGCCAGTCTCTACTAGTAAAGCGTACCTGTTAACTTAAAAAACTATTGCTTCATGATATCACAAGGTGGAACAGAGTATTTTGAAGCTATCGAGATGTAGACAGCTTAATAATAAAACATGTGTGAATGAAACAAAACACAACCCCTTTTTGTATTTGTTTGTATTATGATTTTAATGCACTTTGTGTATGAATTGTGGTCTACAAAATTTCACTTACTTTAATAGATAAAAAGTTGAGTCCGCTCTCATTGGCCAGAGCCTTGGCGATCATAGTCTTGGAGCAGCCCGGGGGCCCATACAGCAGCACTCCTTTAGGCGGCTGGATGCCCATGCGAGTGAAGGCCTCAGGGTGTCTCAGGGGCCACTCCACTGCCTGCTTCAGTTTCAACTTCACCTCCTCCATGCCTCCGATATCTGACCACCTCACCTGGACATGAGAACAAACAGTTCTATTAGTATATCTCATAGAGTTACAAAAAGTCAAAACATAAAATACTAGGGGTGTAATGATATCCAAGTCTCACAATATGGTATCTTCACGGTATGAACGTCATGGTACGATATTTATTGCGATAGCGTGGGAAAGCTCACGATTAGGGATGTAACAATTTCCAAATCTCTTTGTACTATGTTTTCCTGATAAACATGTCACAGTACAATTGTAATATTTTGTGGAGGCTAAATAGCTAAAACTGTTAATATGCTACTTTTCCTCTTAAAATGACTTAACAAGACTTAATCCAAAGAACTAAGACATAAAAGTGCTTAAAACTTTCTTCATGTAGTCTACACTGAAATGGAGCAAAAGATCATGTTCTATGTAGTCTTTTTTTAGCTATTGCTGCACCATAACTCTTAATTTAAGCAAAGAGACTTGTAATTCGATATATTATGATGGTCCACGATATTATTAAGGAAAATTTGATGATACAATATCACAATATTTCAGTTATTGTTACATCCCTATAAAATACTCACATACACATTTGTATCAAAACTAGATTCTCTTATAGGACTTCTTCAAATGAGAAATTACAAATTTATGTGCTGAAAATTACATATCACAGCCTATTGTATAAAAAGTGGTCTATTTGCATTAACATTGTGGTAGAAATTAGAACCCGGCCGATATATCAGTTGGGCGATATATCAGTTGGCTGATATTATCAGCCGATATGGGCACCTGGAACCATATCGGCGATCGGCCGATATGTTTGCTGATATGGGTCGATATTTCACGTGGGCATGTTATACCTCGTTATAAAGCTTAGACTCTCTACATTATTTCCATTTAATCCAATTTACAGACAGATAAATGTCCTAATATGTGGGTCCACATCAGGATTTATCTGCGGAGTCATATCCCTATGTGTGTGTCCATACTGTCCCTGAACACATCCCCAGAGTCACGTCACTCACGTGTGTTTGTTTACACCCCCAGACGTAGGTCCAAACACTGAGATTATATTCTTTTTACGGACAATCTGTTTAAGTCTGGATTAAAAGGACATTTATTATTGCAGACTTGTGATGTGAGGAGGAGCCTGTGTGAGCGGTGAGTGTTGGAAATATGTCGACTTTTAAGCTAGTTTTGGTTATTTGTTATTGGTTAGCGATTAGCTGCTGTAGCTCCCACACATAAACAGACTGTATTCTCTTCTATTGGCCTATTGTAAAGTGACTATATTGGCCCTATATATATACGTGACTGGACCTGCATTGATATGTAAATGAGCTGTGAATAGAGGAGTAAGTGATCACATTTATCTATATATTTATCTATATACCGTGGCGTGCACGCATTTACGGCTAAAGGCTAACCGCGGTAGTTTACTTTCTTTACTAGCTAGTAGTGATGGGTCGGTCGTGAATGAAACGGCTCTTAGAGCCGGCTCTTTGAAATGAACGACGGGAGCCTGCTCGTTATTGGGAGCCGTGTTTTCTCTTTCTCTCACCCTCTCTTTCTCTCACTTTTTTCTCCTCACGTCGCGTGCAGACTAGTGGTAGTTTGACAGCGGCAGCGGCTGAAAACGAAACTTTCAGAAATATGCATAGGTAAAATGTGCATAGGATAGAAAAAACATGCATATTTGGCTGTAGTTCAGCATAAAATAAATAAACCAGGACTAATCTTGGACTTGAAAGAGGGAAAGAGATAGAGACCAAGTCCCGACACTCAGTCCTGGTTCAGTTCTGGTTTAGCCCTATTTTACGCACGGTTTAGATCTGTTTAAGTCCTGGTTTAGTTCTTTTTCAGTCCTGGTTCAGTTCTGGTTTAGTCCTGCTTTAGACCTGCTTTAGTCCTGCTTGCAACAAAACAACCTGAAGAGCCACTTGGGAGTCAAAAAAGCCAGCTGCTTTTAGTGAGCTGAGCCAAAAGAGCCAGTTCTCTAAAAAGAACTGGAATACCCATCACTAGTAGCTAGAATGTGATGCAAAAATGCCATTAGTTCGACCTACTGTCTGTAAATATGATGCAAAGAGTCAGAATAACAATAAATGTTGCCTAAATAAACCCAATTTAAAATCCACTATATTAGACAATTTTTTACATCACTAAATATATCAGCGATTATATAGGATATCGGCAGCTCCAACCCACATTTTATTGGTATCATATCGGCCACAACAAAATCCATAACGGTAGGGCCCCAGTAGGAATGTCAAAACTTTTATCAAAATCAAGTATGACGGATATTGACAAAACTACCAATACCTTGAAATGCAAAAGACTGGAAGTAGGTATTTATTTCCCTTTAACTCCTAAATGTTATAGTTATGCTCTCAATTCTAACATTGTATTTCTGGGAAGTGGTGAAAGTCTGTGAGCATGGTTGTAGAATGGATTTTAGAAGTATCAATTGATTGACCTTGCAAATTGGCTCCTTGACCAATCATTCTCTGACCAATTTTGAACTTGAGGTCACCAACTTAACAGCCATGTTTTTAAAAAGAATACATGCATGCTTTTGTACATCAGATCCAATACTAATACTGGATAAGTGCATCATCAATTTGGCAACAGCAAAACTCTTTTCATAACGTTTAACTTAATATGGGAAATCCAAGCTCTGTGTTTGTTATGTTTAACAAAGTATGACAAAGCCAAAGTTCAAAACAAAACTCACTGCCAACAATGGAAGCAACCGACCACAGTCAACTCTGACTGGACACTGACATCAACAATGCTCTCAAGTTGCCTTCAAAAAATGAATGGAGACCTAATATAAAAAAGCATATTCCAAAATAGATAAACCATTAAATTCACTTGAAGAAAATTATGCTTCACATGCAGTTATTGAACATTAAGCATATCATAGGCGTCTACACCCCGTTATCGGAGATGCCTTACAAAATAACTCAATATACTAGCCATTACATGTTTTTATTTTCAAACATACATTCTTTATGTTATCAATGTTGCAATTGTGTATGTAATTAAATGCAACGTAACCATAGCAACATAATGTTACTAGAAGGGTTAGGGTGCATTCGATTATCCATCCGTCTCCCACTCAGATCTCAGATATGACTTCATGTCCATGCTTCAAGCATTTTATTATGTTTCTCACATAGACCATATATATGAATGGACATAGCTAACACGCTTGCCGCCTCGTTCCGGTTTCACATGTCTGACTTGAAAAAAAATGTGCACGTCAACTGGAAAGTTATTGTTGTTGTTTATCTTCTGTTTGCAACTCTAGGGACGTTAAGCAACACTCGTTTAAAACAAGTCTTTGTCAATACTGTCCTTACCACGACACCAAGTACTATATTCACAGGCAGTGATATGGACGCAGTAAGATATTGCAGTAATACGAGTGACCAAAGCTCCAAACACAATGAAAACAGTTCATACTTAAAACTGACACTCGGAGCAGCCTTCTTGGATACTATCCTTGCTCGGACTCCTCTGAGTTCTTCCAAGTTCCAAGTTGCACTGTCTGAAGAAAAAGGGCATGTTAGTGCGTGTCACTAAGCAACATCCTCAGACTTCAGAGTCGGATGGATAATCGAACACACCATTACTCGTTAGAGAGTACACAAGCAAGACAGCCAGCAACTTAACATAGAACCTTTTACTGATAATTATCACATTGTTTTGCAGACATCAGCTGGCCAGAAAAATTTAATCTGAGATGAAGGAGCAGAACCCTGAGGTCTCTTTGCTGAATCGCAAGAGAAGAAAGCCTACTCTGACAGGCAGAGGGACACACAAATGACCACGACAACCTTCAGCAGGTCGTAACTGAGGTTGCTGAGGCCCAGGAACAGGAGGAGAACCAGGCCTTCCGAGGAAGATCTGCTGAAGCAAATACAAATTCTGAAAGCTCAGCTAAGGAAGGAGCAGGAGGAGAAAGAGAAAGCTCTCTATCAAGGAGCAGTATGACCGCAGTCGTGTGTATGTGGGAAATCTCCAGAAGCAGATATAATGACTCAAAAAGGAAAAGGCCACTGCTTTTGCCAAACAGATGGAAGAAGTCAGGGCAGAGGTGCAGGAGGAGATTAAACATCAGGCTACCGCCAACGGTTTCCTTCAAGGGCAACTCGCTCAAGTTAACCATATGGCCGAGGAAAAAGCCCAGTATCTCCTGGAAACCATCACTAGGAAGGATCAGCAGGAGAAACAACTAAGGGACAAGATCACTGCTCTCACTCAGGATCTGGAGAAGAAGCAGGTGAAGAAGCAGGGCCTGGTGCGTCTGGTGGCCAAACTGCAGTCCTCCCTGAAGGAGAAGGAACAGACCCCTGCAGCAGCTCAGAACAGGGTGGACATTCTGGAAATAGACAATCAAGAGCCTTGACTGCAGAAGTGTCTGTTCTGCGACCTGCTCTAACAGAGGAGAAGAAAGCCACTAGAAAGGAGCTGGAGTCAGAAAACAACATCCTGACAAAGAAGGGATCTACTCTCAGATCTGCAGAAGAAGTGCCGTGCCTAAAATCTGCCCTGACAGAGGAGCGGAAAAACCAACAGACCCAGGTCAAACTTCAAACCCTGCTGGATGAGAAGATGGGGCTGGAGTCTACTGTGGCAAAGCTTAGGTCCACACTCAATGTGGAGAAACACTCTATTGAGGTCCTCCACTGCAGAGAGAAAGCAGAGTCAGATCATCCAAGAGCAGAAGGCAAAGACACAAGCCTTAAATTAGGCTCTCCAGACAGAGAAAGTCACATTTAAGGCTGTGATTGAGCAGTGCAATGCTGCTTATGTCTCTGTTTTACAACAAAGAGACCAGCTCACACAGAACCTGCAGGACACCACCCACGAGATGAAGCTGAAGGTGCAGCACAGAGATGAGCTCGGTGCTCTACAGTGCACTGAGGAGCACAAGAGGAACGTGTTGCAGGAGAAGATCTGGGGACTTCCAGAGGTTCTGACCTCCTCAGAAGAGACTAACTCTGCTCTGAAGAGACAGAACCAGG